AAACGTAACATTATTCATTATTAGTGAATGTAGCTCGATAGATTATTTATTGGTAAATGTAATTGATTCATAATCGATGGATGTAGACAAATTCATTGCCAGTGCATTCATCTGTTTTTTGATGAATGCTTGCACCGAAATCAACTCGTGTTACCAGCAGTCCACACACCGACTTTTTCCATGAATACCGAACTTTTGAAATGATTCATAGGTTCTATGCATGTTTATAGTCGTACATTGTTTCTAAAAAAAAGTAATTAAATTCTAAGTCGGAACATAAGATTTCATTTTTATGTTCAAGCGATCGAGAAAAGCTTCTGCTCTCATACCATTAGATATCAGCGAAGTAATTTAATTATACATGCTTGCGATAGGAGTTTGTGTCGCTCAATAAACTTTCATTCGCATCGATGATTACAGAATTGCTACATTTCATTCATATATCTCGGTTTGTTAATATTATTTACTTACCACGCTTTAATTATGTTCCATTTGTTAATTTCATTCCGTTTCTTTATGATATTTTTAGGTTACATTCCGCGCCGTATTTTTTACAGCAAGTTTGTTTTTGCCAGATCTGCCTCCAGCAAATATGGTTTACTTTAGGTTTAACTTTCTAAGACATTATTTGAGGTTTTCTATGTAAGTTAACATTGTATTCCTATAATTTTTGCATTCCGTTCGCGTTATGATAATTTGCAACGATGACATTCAGATGATGTTCAACTTGAAAACGTTTACTGTCATTTATCTTGGGCTGCGTTTATTTTTTATCGGTTGTAATCCATTCCGTTTATGTTATGATAAGTTTAAATAGTCTCTTTTTCCGTTTGCATAGTGCAATATATTATATTAATTGCATTTAATACTTTTTTGCTGTTATAAAATTGTCTGCATTTATTTACGTATTTAAAAACTATTCAAATGAAGTTTTTTACAGCTTTTGTTTCGAGATAACTTTTCATTGATGCTCATTGCAATCAATAATGTCTCATGTATGATTTAAATTCATGGCTCGTGTGGTAGTTTCATGTCTGCAAGCGATGTTGTAAGAACATTAATGTTGCTCAAATTTTCAAGTCTACAAACCGAACTTGGCCGCAGTTTTAGAAGATCTTCATTCCTGAAAAAAATGTGCATCTGAGTATATAGGTCTTCCGCAAGACGAGTTAATGTATTCTCTTATTGTAATTATTAACTGAATATCAAGACAACTTCGAAATAATATTCATTATATCATTATTATAAACATCACAGTTGAAGAGAATATATAGTGCGCTTCTGAAGATCGGTGCACAATATGCGGAAATCATTGGGCCATGAATGTGTTGACATTGATGATGGTTAATCAACAGCATATTATCTGTAAAATTCATGGTGTATTAATTTATCAATTGTAGTCTATGTGCCTAAAAGTCATCCAGCTTGCAGACTGTTGAAACTCTGACAGGGGTATAGTATATCTAAGACACCGTACTTAATCATGTCTACAAACATGGCATATGTACATTCATGGTTGCTTAATTTTTTCATCTGTTGATTATTTTGAAGTTTTATTATGATTATGTTAAGTTTAGTATGTTTTGATTTGCTCAACTTGTATATTTTGTTACAGCTGTTTTTTGTTTTAGTATGCGGATTAGTGAAGTAGTGCGTTATTGCATATTACCTCGAAGACTATGGTGCCATACTGACGGAGGCTTGGTGCAAGACCTCCGCAGCGACCTAAAGTAGCTAGCGAAGAGACCGCTTCTCTTCTCGTAGTTTTTATAGAGAAAAACGATATCATGACTTTTTTATGCCCTTTCCCCAAATTACATCACTTCTTCAAATTTGTCTGCATGAAGAATTTCATCGACAAATCACAGTAAAATTTTATACTTATTTTGGAGGAGAATTTTCGAAAGTATTGCTAATCAAAATTTTATAGCAGCTCGTGGAGTTGAACAATTAAAGCGTTAAATTAGACTGATTTAGATTTGTAGCCTCAACAGCCCTGAAGACTTTCAGATAGTCAGGTTTTCTATTGCACTGAACCTGATGCATTTAAATCCATTGAAATTTATTATTGGAGCCATTGCCATTAATGCGTTGCCATCAGCGAGTCCTTGACATCCTGTGGCTGAGGATTAACTCTTAAGTTCCCTTATCCGCATTTTCGTTTTTGTTTTACATTCGACTTCGAAGAATAGATTAATTTTCACTATTTGTTCGAATAATAACGAAATTGAATCGAAGCTTGAAGACTCTTCATAAATTTTTGTAAAAATATAATATTTAAAGTGTGTCATTTGCTGGTCATGCACAGTGTAGTTCATCTAATGGCAAACATTGTAGTTCGATTTTATGGCTTGATGATGAACACGCCGATGAAATTATGCATATGATGATGTGGATGACGTTTCAATATTATTATATAAATTCATTATGTCGAATTTTAGGATTCATTTATTAATTTTTGGCACTTGCCAAGCTAGAGCCGCTTCAAACCATTTTAATTTGTTCTACAAATGTGCACAATCAACTAAGAAGCCTATACAGGTATTTTCACTATTCTAATGTTTTCTGAACAAGAAAAAGCTTCATATTCTTCACTTTTAATCAATTCCAATTGGCAGGAGCTCGAATTTTTACCAGCTCATACTACGTAGCACAGCTACGATAAATAACGAAACACATCAAAGATCCGTCATATAGCAAACGATTTTAGAATAACGAAACCTTCCATCCGTTTTTTATCCGCCATAGCAAACGAAACTTTTAATCCTATTCTTTTCGTTAATTAATCCAAATTCGTTGCATTATGTCTGAACATTATTTTCCTCGTCCCAAAGCACATTAAGAATAATTTAAATGTCTTCTAAAAGTCATGATTGGAGTGAGGTTTTATACTGGATTATATTTAGCTAGTAAATGACGTAAACTACATTTGATACAAGCAAAAAATATAGGATGATACATGTTTTCTTGGATGATGTATCTTTACTAATGTCAGTTAACTCAGTTGATTCTATTTATAATTTAATGATCGATGCTGATTATTATTCGGTAATTATGATACTCACTTTTCAAATTGGCATCAGTTTGTCTAACGCCTGATGTCATCCTCTCATCTTGATTTTGTTCTGATCGATATTCGAAAAAAAAGTTGATACATGAATCAATATCCTGTGTTGAAATATTGTGTCAGCAATTAAATTTTAGAAATTAAAGGCAGAATCTCAATAATTAATCTTGATAATAAATGCATTATAATTGGAATCGAATTATGCCAATTTTAATGAAAATCACATAGAAAATTTCTAACAGAAAGTGCTTCTTATAGCGTCATCATAATTTTCCTCATAAAGCATTTGAAAAATTGTTGCAGATTAATAATGCTATTCATTCTGACATCCGCCATCACTTGTCATTCCTATCATTCCTCTGCATCGTAGCATACATCCATGCCACTTATAACATACCTCTGCATCGTAGCATACCTCAGTGTCTTTTCAACCATACGTCTGAATCGTGGCATACCTCAGTGTCTTTTCAACCATACCTCTGCCTCGTGGCATGCCTCATACTGCAGTGTCATTTATACCATACCTCTGCATCGTGGCATTTTTCAGTCAATTTCTACCACACCTCTGCATCGTAGCATACCTCAGTGAGATTTCTACCATACCTCTGCATCGTAGCATACCTCTGAATCGCTTACTACACTTTTCATCACGTATCTGCTACTACTTCAATAAAACAATATGCTGTCAAGATTAGAGTTATTGTTTAATCAAGACTAGAGGTTCCCTGATAAATAACATTTCAGTGTTATTCATGTTCATCGTTCAATTAAAGTTAACCACCTGATTGAATATGAAAAGAAATAAATTTTACTTTAACTCATTTGAACCTTCAAGAATAAGTGGCAAAAAATTTCCTTCTAGAATCCTTAAAATATTTTTCAAATTCTGTAATCAGATACCGTAATAATTATATTTATTACAATTTAACCAGGTATTTATTTACAGGCCTGCGATCGTGCAATTCATATTTTTCCTCAACTGTTCACATGTGTAGCCGCCAACCAAAATTTCATTAATATCCTCTGCAATATTTAATATTGACGATGCGTTAATATAATAAAAGTCAGAAACTCGGAATTGACGTGCTATAATATCAAGTAATATTACTCAGCTGATGGTTTCTTCTGCTTGTTTTAAAACACTCATAATGAATAAACTGATATAACAGCTTTTGTTATTTTTCATCCACACTTTTTAATTTCGTTTCAGTTTGGATAAATCTGTACAGAGCTCGTTGATAAACATACTTCCTTTATTCCTTAAAATAAGCATTGCTCTCGGATTGACTTCGGGAGGAATGCTTCACTCCAGGGTCCGCGCTGTCACAAATAGTTACGCGTTTGTAACTCCGACAATCAATCACTTATAGAGCCTTAAGAGCTAAATACACCAATTACAGACGAGAAACATGCCGCTACGCGTGGTTGGGTCGCTACGTGTACTATAGCGAGTTTTACGTAAGAGTTAGCGAGTTATGATTGTACGACCCGAGACATGCATTTACGTCTGTGTTTGCTCTGTAGACCAACTAGTTGGAGAAGAATTATTTTCTGCTTGGGCCACCAATTTTCCTACACTTGTCTTTATCTCGTTACCATTTAATATATTTTCATTATTTAAATTATAGCGGGTCTGATTCATCAGTGATGATCTCGTGTGTATATGGAGCTTTTCATCATTGACTCCAGGATATTCAACCGACGCTCAAGGAACGACATAAATTTCTAGTAACAAAATGTCAAAATTTTCTAATAGATGGTTCCTTATGCCATTACTTGCGCACGTTCCGTAAACCTACGATTTTTATCAAAAATGCCTATTAATATTCACATGATGCCTTTTCCTAATAGTATTTATTAGAATGATTGAAGCTTTTAGTATAGTGTTTTCATTGACTTAAATGAAAAATCCCTATTGTATTTTTTATGGCAGATACCACACCTGGCGATTCGATGAGCGCCCTGGAGAGTCTGGTGGACTCCTTGTCAACTGAACAATCAACTGCTGACCACCGCAGCGGCCCAGTCGACGAACAAGAGGCAACAGTCAAATGCAAGTTCCAAGAAGATATCGGCGAACATTCAACAAATCTTCAAGTCAATTATTCAAAGATAAATTTCAATGAGAGCAAACAAAATGAGTTTGCAGATTCAAAGAAGTTGACTGAGAAGAGGACGTTCAATGACAAACCTACTGATGCCAAATTTTTTGCAAACGATGTTCTCATTCAAGATGGCTTACCAGAGCTGAAAGGCACGTCTGAATTGTCCACAGAAACCAAAATTGAACCTAACCAACAGACCGAAAAATTGCCGAACTGCGAAAATTTAGAGGGAAATGAAAATTTTTCGAATACTTACTGCACTCGAAATAATTCCACAGAATTGTCAAATTTGGCTGAAGTGATTATCAAAGAGGAGTTCGAGGTTCCGTCCGAAGAATTAAATTTTAATATGAAACAGAATGAAAAAGATTGCATCTCTCACAAAAAATCGCTTCATTTACAGAAGAGTGACAAATCTTTCGTGCTGCCGTGTCGAAATACTGCTGAGAGCATCAAACCTAAGGTCAGCCTTGAAGACTCTTTCAAGTTTAGAACGCACGATCTTCCTACAGGAATACCAGAAATTTTGCAGCACTCATTGTTTTCTAATGCCATAAACATAAGCCCCGTTTATAAGTTAAAGAAAACTGGTCCAAAAGAGCTGGAAAAAAATTACATTAAATCTAATATTGAAGATGAAATTCCTCCAACTCTAATTAGTAAAGCAAAGCGTCTCGGTAGTAAGACGAATGAGTATGGAGAAACAAATGATGAAAGCGAAGACTTGGTAATCATAGAAGATAAAAATGAAGTCGAAATAGACCCAAATATTTTTTTAATAGATGATTCTATAACTAACATCGGTAATAACATAGATGGATACGCTTTTCCTTCAGATTCAAGCATTTACTACTCGTCGTCACGTGGATCCTCGACCTCGTACCTTAACGCTGCTGATATGTCCGTGAATTTGGCCGTCAGTCCGTCACGACAGAGCGTTTTGTGTCCGTTATGTGGCCGACTTATAGCGCAGCGACGCAGTCTCAAGCAGCACCTCATGAGCAGCTTCCATAAAATGAACGCACAAGAAGCAGATTTAACAGTCAAAACGTCCAACTATGCCGCTCATAAATAGAATTGTATTTAAAATGATATAATTTGAGGTCAGCGTTATAGATTAGCAATGTTTAGCTTGTCGCCGATTTAAGACATCGAATAATTTTTTCAGCTAGCGGCGAGTGTCGATCTCTCAACTCACTGCTCCAACCATCATCACATCGCAAAACTGATGTTTAAATCATAATGAAGCTTTTAATAATATCCTTTAGCTAGAGATTTTCGTGCGCAATCGAAGCATATGTAGATTTATCTGTGAACGCGTTACTGCCAGGCAATTAAAATGCACTAACATTTTAATTGCCTTGCATTTATCTTTAAATAATTGCCACTACAAAACTACTGGTAGTTATGCACACCCAACCATGCACAACCATGTTGATCTGGTACGGGTTTGAACTAATAATTATGTTTGTCATTACTCTGCTGTGCTACGTTAGAAGATAATTTGCGGAAATGTCGATTTGTTGAATTGTGTCGTTGATATCGTGTATCGTGTAATTTTAAAACGTTTCCTTACGGTGGTATTCGTATAGAAATAAATATCATTATCATTACGATTTTTCAATTATTCCTTTTTAGTTCCGCCGCTTAAGGGCAAAGTTATAAAAATATGATTTGTATAAAAGATTTAAAAACTTACCGATTTGGACCAAATCTCAGAGTGACTAATTTGTCGTTTGTTCCGATTACTTACTATTACAATGTTCTCATAAGAGACTAGTAGAAAGTTAAACGCATTTCTCGTCAATTTTTACTCTCGAAGGCTCCGGTTTGTTGTAAGTTACTAATTTATTTTTAACACAACGATGAGCTGATGTGTCATTGTCAATGCAGCCGAACCTTTTGTTAACTGCCGAGTGTGACGTGAATTTTAAATTTTTTGACGTAAGTAAAAGAGCTTTCATGCAACGTGAATGATCGATTTTGCAGCGTGAATGATCGATTTAAAGGTTTAAAGCACCATGGTTGGACTAGTATAAGGTTGACCCATCAGAAGCCAATTTTTGCGGATGTAGTGTGTTGTTCGCCCATGGCGTCACTGATATCAGTGACGTCACGGGCATTGACCAATCACCGAGATTCGATCAAACCAGTCAACCAATCCGTCATGGGATTTTTTTACGTCATGAAATTGTTTACGTTTCTCGATCTACGTGACGCAACAAGAAAGCTGAACTGAAAGACGGAACTTCTCGTGGGTCAACATTATATAGTTCAACCATGTGTCAGCACGCATCCAATTCCTATGTACTAACCATCGGATCGTCTCAAACACTGCAAAATGTTTCTTCGACCTATCTATACATAAATAAAACAAATTGTTCCGATATTAAAGCGTAACATAGTTCAAAAATAGCAAACAAAATAGTTCATTGAATTATTGAGCATTATTTAATGACGGACAGTTATAGTTTTATTTAGAGTTATTTAAAAGGAGAAAAGCGTATAATATTCAAGTGGTTCAGGTATGGGTTTTAGCCTGCACCTCATTCTAGCTCCATGCCTCCAAGGCTCCATCCGGCATCTATGTTCTATGGTCCATCGAGTAAACATCTTGGCTGCCTATAGCCTATAGGCTATAGCCCTGCGCAGGAGAAAGTTAGTTGCGTTCGTTGTGTAAGCACGTGTGCCATTTTGCGCTCTCTGATTGATTTACTGAAAAAAGTTCTCTTAGAGTTAATTTTTGAAGGATTTTACAGACCAAAGTCATTAAGTAACACGACTGGCTTTCTCTCACAAGGGTTTGTCAGTGACAGTCAGTCATTCGTTTTTTTTTCCTTTTCTTTTTTTTTTGTTTTTTTTTTCTACTCTCTCAGTCTCTTCTACTTCCTTCCTTTTGACTGCAAGTTGCCATCTTTTTGTTAGTTTAGTTGTTTGTTGTTAGGTATGGACTCAGACTGTCTTGCTGCTGCTGGCACTGGGTCAGGGTTTGGCCCTCCAGCTGACTCTGGCTCAGGGGTCATTGTGATTTGTGATTGATGGAATGGATGTTCAGGGCAATGAGACTTCAGGCCTCAGGGTACTATTGTTGAGGACTCAGACATAGTGGCAATTTACATGGTGCAATTCTATAGGTTATTCAAAAGAACCTGGTCTTATGTCATTTTGAACCGATCGACACTTCTTTACGGACCCGAGGACCGATCATGTAAGTGATGTAACACAACCTTACCCGGCAAAAGCTTTCTTGCTTCTGAAGAAAGGGACGGTTCGTCAGCTGAGCTGACACTGGCAGTGGGCGGGCCTTATTTGAATTTGAACACATGCATCCATTTGAAATCCTAGACCCATAGGGCCATAGTATACGAGTCAAAGAGCCTAAATTTTTAATATCTATATAAAAAATGTACGTTTCTGCATTGATTATAATGCTGTTAACATTAACAAAGCATCAAAATCCACGTAGAAACTTAAACTTTTAATAGGTTTTACACTGAAATTTACGCTCCTAGTCCAAAGAACTGAAAGCGATTTGAAATAAAAAATGACAAATGAATCGATGGCGCTTTCTGGCACCTATTGTCACAGCTGTTCCCAGTTTCAGTGCATTTTTTAGCATAAGTTGCCAATTCGTATTTAATGTAGTCTTCCCTTGTTACAAAACTTACAAAATAACCTTGAATTATTGATTGCCAATTTCTTGCATTAGGTAAATGTTTATGATTCAAATTGATCATAGAAGTTGTACCCATAGAAGTAAAATTACCCATAGATGATGATAGAAGCTTCACATATTACAGATGCCAGCGCTAGCAGCGGCAAACAAATAAACTACTTCATTGTTAGTATGTTCAGTCTTCACTATTAATATAATAATATCGTATTCTGTTTACGTCCGGTCTCTTAAAGTGTTCCAGCAACATATTTTCCATTACTAATTTTTTAAATGTATTGACTTGTGTTGCAGTGAGATATTGAATTGTTCGAATTCTAAACAAAGGTGGCACGCCCGTATTCAGATGCCAGCGCTAGCAGCGGCCATCAAATGCACAACTACTTTATTGTTAGTATCTTCACTAATAATTTATTAATATCATATTCTGCTTAGGCACAGTCTCTCAAAATGTTCCAGAAAAACTTTTCTATTACCAATTATTTACATTTATTTGTTTGTGGTGCAGCGAAATATTGCTTTTTTTTTCGTCTCCACGTGTTCTTGTGTGTGACGTCACCGTGGGACGACATACGTCACCGTTTGTGACGTATGTAAACATATGGCTAGCATGAAGATGGGAGTCCAGTTCGGCATTGAAATGGATGGTTATTTGTGAATAATATTTTCGATTGTGATATTATAATATATTTCTGATTGTGAAATAATTTTGATTGTGATATTGACACTTGACAGATATTCAACATTTGAATATCGAAGTTCTAACATCATGAATTACGAGGTAAGAGTGTAAGGACTTAGCAAAGCTAGAATCATGGCTGAGGCTTAAGTTCTTAACCAATGTCATTGTAATTTTTTACGTCATTGATATCATTGTGGAACCAACGTAAGTAACTAAGGAATTTCCCAGTTCAAATATTTATTGATTTATTACGATCAATTTCGAAACTCCACATATTTCTAAAGGGAGTTGTGATGAGACCATGGGGATGGGGTCGAACTGTTGAGTTTAGACCATTACAACTTGCAAGAGGGGCCCAAGGGCCAAGGGCATGGGGCCTTGCGAAGGGTTAAGACCGACGCACAGCGGTGGACCGATAAGTACTCACAATAATTCCCTGCCACCATGGTGGCAAAGCAGAGAGTTTTTTAGACTCTCCCTCAACTCTCAAGTTCATTTTTGAGTTCTATAAGTAGACCAGTAAAGTATCTTGGATACCAGAATTATCATACATAAGAAATCTGTTAAAATCTTGAGTAAATGAGGAAATTAAAAATGAACTGATTCCAAAAAACCACTGGTTTGCCACTATGGACTCAGATCTAGATAGTCTCATTGATGCAACTCCCAAATGTGAATGTTGGTGCCAGCCAAAAATGCAGGGTTTGGGAAACAAGCCACACTCAGGATGATGTATGTTTTCCGTGAATTTTCCCGCGCATTTTCACTTTTTTTAAGCTATTGCTGTGCACAGTTGGCGCAATGTAATGAAAATTGATTCTCTTCGCGCACGTGTTCGCGCAATCCCGGCCATCAATTCTACGTTGCGCTGCCGCGCACGAGCAGTTTGTGGAGGATTGGAGGAACAGACGTAATACTCACATTACTCAGTACAGTATGCCTTTAATTATCTTTCAATAATATATGATTTTTCTTGATACAGAAATTTGGTGAATGAGAAATCTAGAACTTTATTTTAGAAGAAATTTTCTCCAAAGTCATATGGCAACACTGAACACCGTCTGTTTACATTTCGTATGTATAATAGCCGCAGTTTACGATTACCGTACGTTCCGTATCCGACAAGGCGGACAACTTGACAAGCGGTAGAGTCAGAAGTAACCCGGACATGTCTTACATTTTATTATTGTCAGTTCGACTCGCGTAGTCAATATACTTGCGTATATTGTCGACTAAATTAGTGGAACTATTTTAGCTTTCTAAAGTACGGCGCACGGCACATTTTTTTACCAGCATAGTACGGCGCACCGCGCAGGTTGTTAAAATGACAAAATAAATTCCCGCGCAACTGGCACATCTTCCTGACCATGGGAAACAAGTGGGTCTTCAGAAAATCTTGTTGGTACAAAAGTGAAGTGTGTAGCGATGGCTTGCCATTTGCCAAGGAATGTCAAGGGATTTCCAATCCAGTAGTGGACCTGGAATAAAACTCCCATCAAATGCTACCCTGAAAAGTGCTGGGTCTGGTCAGACTATTTTGGTGAAGCCACAGGGTCCTGATGCCATAACGTTTCTGAAGGATCCAATTGGCCTGACCAAAGGCATAAGGGACTCGCCTTTTGGAGCCATTAGTGACCTAATTGTTCGGACAAATCCGCGTCGACAATTAATAGCCTTGGAATTGCCTTCACTTAGTGGTCAAGAAATGTTCAACTTCCTTGCAGTTTCAACAATTGGCAAGTGGTCAGTTCGTTGCTATCAGCCTGGATTGGATGTGAGAGTCTGTGGAGTGTTTGGTCCAATTGATCCCAGTGCTAACATAGATGAAATAAAAGAAATTGCCACTGCTGGTGACTTTGTTATTGTGGACATTGTGCGCCTAGACAGATTTCGCGATGGAAAATGTGAGCCATCTGCTACTCTTAAGGTTGTATTTCAGGGACAAACTCTACCAAGCAGAGTGAAAATAGGATATGTATCCTATCCTGTGCAACCTTTTGTGGCTCCACCAATGTGATGCTACAAGTGCCAGAAGTTGTGGCACCTTGCTGAAGGATGTAAGTCACCCCGAAGGTGCCTTCTTTGTGCGGGTCCTCACGCCACGAGCACTCTGTGTGTACATCAATGGAGAGGTGCTGTGCTAACTGCAAAGGCCCCCATCATGCTAATTCATTGGAGTGCCCAGTGCCCACTCATTGCAAAAGCCACTGCAGT